GGCGTCAGGGTCCTCCGCGTGCGCAGTACAGATAATGGAAGGAATAAGGGAATTGATAATGCTACGAAAGGAAATAAACTAGAAAATAATGGTGGTCGACCAGGGATGAGAACATATGGCTGTGAGTGATGCAGCGAAAACAGAATAGCAACTCTGCCATCCATGAGACTTTGTCGCAATATGCTTGATGCAAAGACAATCAGTCTCCTAAAAGACTGCACCCCGGTCAAGATTACTGCAAGGACGATGCCCGGGTAGCCCCGTGCATTGTCATCATGCGCAAGCTTCATGTCCTTTATCTCTCCCATTGCGTTTGCTATCGCATATTGGTGTCGCCGCTCGGTGTCGCCATACATAGAGAAGCTTGCGACCAGCTCGGCCCAGAGGAGAATCGCAACCCGTTCCGTAATAGCTGCATTGAGAACTGTCTGGTAAGTTATCCTTTCTCTCTGTCCCGTTTTTATGCGATGCTGTGCAACTGCGGTGCACAACTTCGACTTTCTTCCGCCTCATCGCAAGGCCGACCATGAAAGTCTTCCTGGCATTTTGTTGTTCCTGAGAGATCAACCCGTCCTATTGGAACACCTGCTGTCGAATTGGCTCCCCTCTCCCATCTTCCATCGCTGTGCCAGGCTGGCTTTGATGACTGGAAATGTGCCGACAGCTTACTTCCTGTTCAATCCCTTCTTAATGGCCTCGGTCTTTGCGTCGCGGCTCGCTTTGGATGACCGTTTGGGTCTGTTAGACTTGGGCTTCTGGACGCCACCATTCTGGACGTAACGAGGCACCCAAGTCACGCCCGCCTCCCTCCTGAGTCTGGCGCGGTTGTTTTTCTCGACCTGGCGCTGGTGGCAACTGTGGCAGTGCTTTCCAGCACCATTGTCGGCCTCGTGGAAGCACTGAGTGCAGGACCAGATGCCACGCATTTGGCGAGCGATGATCTCTTGCTGAAGTCTCTCGCTGGGCGGGGCACTCATGCATCCAAAGCAGAAAGCCGTACCAGGCTGCCAGATTGATTTCTGGTTGCAACGTTGGCACAGGACACCGTGATCGAGGGGCTCCAGGAGCGGCGCCTTAGAAGCGGGGGCATTCAACTTAGCGGCTGGAATAGCGGCAGATGTCCGGTCCTGGTGGCCTTGAACAGAAGTGAGGATGTTCAACTGGGCGTGGCTCATGTTGGAATGGCCGGTCAGTAAAGTGGCCGGACGGACAATGTGCGCATCGGCATGGATTGTAGGGGGAACAGGAGCATAGTCGCCGGGCAAAGCGGCCTTCGGGACGATACCCTGATGGGCTTGAGCGACAGTGATAGCAATACCATGGTTAAGCTCGGCTCGGTAGTCGTGGTAATTGGTAGAATGAGCAACTTGGATGATGTTGCTGGTGCCATCGGGTTGGGTAGGTTCCTGTTCGGCCTTCTTCTTGTTAGTCAGACTGACCTGGAGCGCTTGCAGGTTGATTGCGATGGCTACAACTCAGATCAGATTACTTACGGTGGAAATCTCCGACAAAGGGTGGGTAGCTTGATTGGTGTTCTTCACCCCGGTCGCGTTGGCTGGCTCGTTGGTAGTAATGCTCGCCTTTTCGGCCGTGTCGCTCGGCTCGTATGATGTATTGCTCTGCTTGTGGCCTTTGTCGCTAGGGTTGTAGGTCGCGTGAGGTGCCGGATAAGTAGTAGTATTCGGATCGTAGGCTCCGTTGGTCTGGTGGTAGGTAGTAGTCTTTGGATTGTACGATGGATGGCTCGGCTGGTGGGTTTTGTCGCTAGGATAGTTGGTCGTTTCAGGCGCCGGGTAAGTTGTAAAGTTTGGATTGTAGGCCGCGTTGGTTTGCTGGTAGGTTGAAATGTTTCGATTGTAGGCCGCATTGTTCGGTCTGTAAGTAGACTTGTTGGACTCGTGAGGCGCATCGTTCGGCTTGTAAGATGTATCGTCCGCCTTTTGGGCAGCGTTTTTGGGCTGGTAGATACTATAGATCACGTCGTCGGCCGTGTTGTCGGCCGTATTGTTGGTTGCGGTGGCTAAACTTCCTGTCTCGGTGGCCAAGGACTCTTCGAACATGAAGCCATCCTCTGTCTCGGGATCGTCGTTGTGGTCTTCGGCGTCCTCATCATAGTCGTCCTTGCCGTAGGCGGGGATGGGAGGCAAGTCAAAGTTGGCGTGCTCACGCAAAAATGCGTCGAAGTCAAACGAGTCGTCTTCCTCCATGATGAATAGCACGGATTGCCATTTTCCTGCTTTGGTTTGTTTAGGCTTCGCAAAATATGCCTACCTTTGTCCGCGATCAATCGCGTTGTTGCGCTTGTTGCAAGACAGCTCACCTTTGGCTGTCGGGTGATTGTTGATTGCACAAGTGCTGGAGATCGCAAAGGTGAGGAATTTGTACAACGGAAAGAGTGATGTGGGCAGGATCATAGAATGGCGACGCGCAAAAGGCGGCAACCAATTAAAATTCGCAGCGCACCTTCCCTCTCGGCTTCGAATTTGGACAGCAATTGAAATGGACGAAATGTCATTCAGGGTCGCTCCTGCCACAACTGAATCCAAATTGAGCCGATTGGGGAGCGGGGACTGGACCCGTTTGTCACCTCCATCCATCCCAGGTTGGAAGCTTGGCGACACCATTTGCACCTAAACACTGAAAGGTGCGGTTGATCAGCATCGAGGAGTTTCAGAATTGTCAGAGTGTTTCTTTGTCGAGCTGGTAGTGAGATTTGGGGCGTATATACTGGACAAGATGTTAGTTTAGACGTTCCGTACCTAATTCGCGTGATGTCTTTCTTTTCTTTTTTCTCTGTCACGAACTTTATTCGCTGTCGCTAGGCCTCTCGGATGAGATCGTGAACTTTGACGCCAAGACCAGAGCATGGCCTCCATCTGAAGAACCTGAACGACGGAAAGCCTGAAGTCCTAGACTCTCAACTGTTTTCGCCAGACGGGCACAAAAATCACTTTGACACTTGGATATCCCCGTGTCCGTTGAGAAGTAGGACGAAACGAATGAGAATGAGAAGATAAACATGAAGACCATTTGAAGGTACCTTACTATGGAAGAAGAAGATAAGGATCTTTCGACTAGAAGGATCGGAGTGGGAGAAAATGAGGTTCGGGCAGTAGCAAAAAGAGAAACTATAAGCTCAGAGGTAGCAAACCGTGCCCAAAGATACCCCGCTAGAGGTGGCTAAACACTTGTTCCCTTGCGCAAGAGCCCTGAAACCGACCCTCCGCGATGGATAGAGAGGTGGTACTAACACCAAGAACGTTAGGACGTACGGCGATGAGGAGTCGGCAGTGCCAAGGGAAACATGGATAACTTCCACCCTTTCCACTACGTTCCTCTCCCTGGCCACTTTGGTTTCGACTTCTTCGTAGCTTACTGTCCTCAGCGTCCTCTCCATATTTTCCACATGACACAGATACCTTGTTTAGTATGAAGTAGTCCGTTTCACTCGTTGGAGCCTTTCTCACAATCCTCGGGTCCAGTAGTCTGCTGACGGTTGCCCTGTTGAGGGTTGCCCTGTTGAGGGTTGCCCTGTTGAGGGTTGCCCTGTTGAGGGTTACCTTGCTGATGGCTGATAGGCTGAGGGATGATATACTGATGGCTGTGATGCTGAGGGTTGGTCGCCTGAGGGGTGATATACGGATGGCTGCGATGCTGAGCGTTACCTGCTGAGGGTTGACCTGCTGATGGCCGATATTCTGCTGGCCGACGAAAAACATCACAAGCTTCTGGTTAGCCGTTGCAAGACCCAGATCAGTTTTATCAAACTGGTATCGATGGGTGGCGGCGTCGATGCGGGAACAGTCCTCGTTGGTGAGTGCGTCGATGGCACTTCTCCGCCTTGCGTCCTCCATTTTCGAGTGCGGTACAAGATTTAGCTACGCAGCTGGCGCGCTCTGGGTAATGCGATCTGCTGCTCGTGATGATGCGGTGCGCAGAAGGGACGATGGTAGTCGCGCTAGTTTTCTGACCCTTCTTGAAGCCAAACCACTCGGCACGAAAAAGATCACTCTTTTGTAATCGTGCGGGGTTGGAATTCTTCTTTTCGGGATATGATGTGATGCGAAGAAGGTGTGATGATTTGCTTGAGACCGGAGAGGTGTGCGGGAAAGGGAAGGGAGGATGCAGTACGCAGTAAAGATCTGGAAGGAGGGATGGATCTCTGCGTGATGAGCGGTTTTGAATTTTGGGGAGGAAGCCGCAGAAAACGCGGGTGTCTATGTGCTGCCTGAAAACGATGAAAGTTAAGGATTACCGTACCCGTAGGACCTGCTCAAAAACACTAGGGAAAATTGTGGGGACTGGGAAGCAATGCCAAGGCCGCAGCACTTGCGGAACGTACCCCAGACTCCCAAACAACGAGATTGTCCTCGGAATAAACCCTACCTAGCTATTGCCCTGTAGCTTCGTCGTCAACGGCGCCAATTCGGTCAGTTATTGTCTGATCTTGAACAAGGCCCGTCAGATAATTGTCGACACGTCGACTTGATGCTTCATGATTGTACGTATACCTAAATTCACTCGACCCCGGGGCGTCTACTGACCATACCACACCATGGTTGTGGAGATCGTGAGGCGTATAGGGGCTTTATCCAGCCGCTATCGATTGGTTTGAACGAGAAATGTCAGGAGACCCCCTCATTGTAGGCGACGAAGGGGAACGCAAGAGATGGGATATGAAAAGTTCATACGAAACGTAAGCAAAAGGCAACGACAGTGGACGCTGACCTCGGGACAAGCAGCGAATTCGAACATCACAAGCGAGCACCCGTTGATGCGGAAGGCTGCTGGCCGCCAGATACTTGTACCATAACAGATGGGCAAGTTAAAAGGCAGTCTGTTTCAACGATTCTTTCCTTGAGAACGCCATCAAGACATGTAGCTCCCAAGTGGTCGACATTGCGAGGATGGCAGTTAGGGCTGGCAACGCGACTAGGGAAGAAAGCCGAGCTGGCAGAGAATACATCTGTCGAAAGCGCCAACTGTCACACGGACATATGCCACACTCCTGGTATCACACGGACATATGCTACACTCCTGGTGTCATACGGACATATGCCACACTTCTAGTGTCATACGAGGAAGACCTACATGTATGCAGATTTCTAGATACCTTGGAGCCTCAGGTGACAAGGACCCGTACGTACTAGATAGGTACCGTTTCCCTTTGGCATAAGAAGGCCTTGAAGCCCAGCCTTCCCCTAGAGGTTGAAAGGTTCAACAAGGCCTTCGAGACCAAAGTAGTTTATCAGCGGAATTGAACTACTGTTCCAAGCCCAGAACACTGCCCTTGTCACACCAACAGCCTACTTCGAGTCTCAGGGATTACATGTCGGGTTTTTGTCTCAACGCAGAAGCGCTGTCTGCTTTCAACGGCCTGGTCGACCAAAGTGTTTATGGGAATTGCTGATCGTCTTGCGTCACAAGCTTCATTCGTTTCATTATCAACGGCGGTGTCATTCGCTGACTATTTCGGGCTTCTCTGCTCTAGCTCGCTACACTATGTCCATTGTAATTGCTCTACTGCTTGAGGAAAAGCTGTCAATCTGCGTTGACCAGGATGACTGCGACCTGTGTGTCATATGGGATCAAGATTCACATGTTTTGCCTCCCGTTACTGGTCGTCAGAGAGGTATACTTGCAATCATAACCAACCAGGTGCCGGACACGTCACCACGAACAGGTTCCAAAACAGCAGAAAGTGATATAAGCTTGGTAAGTCAGGCCTCATGTGTCCCTACTGGCCCAGGAAGGCAAGTCAAGGACACGGACAGGTTTCCAGAGCGAAGTATTCCCACATTAGTACTTCACCCGCGTAACTTTCGGAAAGCAGTATGGCAGACGGCCAGCCCTCGACGAACAGAGCTTCGTGCGAGTGGCCTTTGGGCTTTGAAAGGGAATTGATGGACATCAATTGTGTTGGTCAGTGTGACAAGGGCAGTGTTCTGGGCTCGGAACAGTAGTTCAATTCAGCTAATAAACTACTTTGGTCTCGAAGGCCTTGTTGATCCTTTCAACCTCCATGAGAAAGTCGGGCCTTAAGGCCTTCTTATACCAAAGAAGGTTGGTACGTACCGAGCCCTGTGCGCCAGGCATCGGCGCGAGTCTATCTAGTTCATCTGCCTACAAGTAGATCTTCTGAATGCCAGCCTTCGTCCAGTTGCCCGTCGGTAATTCCGGTCGCTGGTTTAATTGATGAAAGTCGCCGGCGAATGTCCGTGTGGCATTCTGTCGGTAATTCCGGTCGGCAGTTTGACTGATGAATGTCACCGGCGAATGTCTGTGTGACACTGGCCGAGGCAAGGCTGGTATTGTATGGCGAGGTTGGGTTGATGTCAAGCATTGAGGCTCTATTGAACTTCAAACCCAGGAGTGTGGGCAATGTCCGTGTGAGTGTGACAGTCAATGAGGATGGCATCCTGGGAACCGTCGGGTGAGCAGCGCGGAGAGGTTGGCTTGTCCGCTATCATCGTCGTTGTAGGTTCACAAGAGGTCCGTCGGGAAAAGATTGTGGTAACGCAGACGGAAAGGGACGAGATGTCACACGGACATTGTTACACGGGCATTTGCCCACAGTTCTGGGTTAG